AAGAAAAAGATTTGTTGACTAATCGAGTATTTCTGAAGGAGAGTTTTTACATGGTCCTATGATATTTCCAATAAGTGTATGGAATATTTTTGGAACATATACAAAGTATAGTTTGTGTCAAAATAAAACAATGAGATACATTTGGCAGAATGGCTACAAGTTTTGGTAAAGATATTATACTAGAAATCCACATAGATCTATAATTGAATTGAGTAAGATGGCATAACATTTGCCATATAAATATTTTGGTGGAAAGAATTTTCCCCAATAAACATAACTTATTAATTTCTATTGTCTATAGAAACACTGGAAATAACTAGAAAAGACAGTATATTCTGTAATATACGAATAAGACAAGAACATAAAAAGATAACTGCCTTCCATTAGGTTTCAAATAATTTAAATATGTTAATAGTAAATTTTTGCTTAAAATTAAAGAAGAAAATACCCTAATCTTTTTTTTTTTTTTTTATTGAAGCACTGTGAGATAGATACAAGGTTTCATGTTTGGGTTACAATCACAGAATGATCAAACACCCATCCCTCCACCAGTGCACATTCCCCACCACCAATATCCGTGTATACCCCCCCTTTCCCACCCTCCCCTGCCTCCATGGCAGACAATATTCCCCATACTCTCTCTCTACTTTTGGGCATTATGGTTTGCAATGCAGATACTGAGAAGTTATCACATTTGGTCCATTATCTACTTTCAACACACATCTCCCACCCCGACTGGTTCCTCAGGCCATCATTTTCTTAGTGATCCCTTCTCTATTCCAGCTGCCTTCTCCCCTCCACTCATGAGGCAGGCTTCCAGCTATGGCGCAATCTATCTGTCCTGTGTATATTACTGTCCTTGAAAAATACCCTAAACCTTTATTAGTGACAGAAAAGGAAATTTCTGTTTCTTTTCTTTTTTTTTTTTTTTTTTTTTGCTTTTTGGATCACATCTGATGATGCTCAGGGGTTACTTCCTGGCTTTGCACTCAGGAATTACTCCTGGCGGTGCTCAGGGGACCATATGGGATGCTGGGAATTGAACCCAGGTCGGCCGTGTGCAAGGCAAACGCCCTACCCGCTGTGCTATTACTCCAGCCCCTCTGAACTAGAAAAAAAACTACTTTATATTTTCATCACTAACCAGTGATTTACATATAATAGGTAAAACATTTCATTTTTAAGGTTAGATAAAATTGAATTTTTTATCTTATGTTTCATATTGATATAAAATTCAATTTCTACATGTAAAAATTTTTGTTTACAACTTGGATAAATTTACTGGACCAACGGCATACATAAGAAAACATGTAAATATGAATAAGAATGTAGTTTCTTTCTTTTTTTTTAACTTAAAAAAATTTATTAAAGAGCCATGGTTTACAAAGTTACTGATAGTTGCATTTTAGGCGTACAATAATTCAACACCTATATCTCCACCAGTGTCAACTTCCCTCCACCAGTGTTCCCAGACTCCCTCCCCATCCCAACCCCAACTCCATCCCTCCCTTCAACTCTAGAGGCACATTACAAAGTTACAGTGGTTGCTGCTTATGTCTCATGTTTTCAGTTCTACTAAGTTAGTGCTTTGGGTATATGGCTGTGCCCCTCACTCACATTACTGGTATAACTGAAACCCCAGCCCTTACTTCTTATTCTCTTCTTCTCTCTTAATTTCTTTTCTTTTCCATCTGTCTCCTCTCTAAACACTGTAGTCAAGGATGATCGAAGTTCCCCCCCTTTTACTATAATACATTTCCTCATCCAGTATTTGTAGTTTCTTTAGAATAAAGGTACCCTGGTTATATTAGGATACAGAAAATTATTTTAAGTATTTGCGTAAATGTTCTAACATTTTTTTCTGCTAAGTGCTTGTTGATTACTTTTCCTATTTAAAAAGATATTCTCTAGTGCCAAATGAAGTATCTAATCAATGCAAACTTTCAACATATGGGCGGGGGGAGAAATCATAATCCTAGCTGAAGAAAAGGATATGATTCTTAATTCTTTTAGACAAATGAGTGCTGAAAGCAAATGAGTAGGGGAAATACATCGAAGTATGTACATATATATACTACATATTTTGTACTTTTTTTCTTACATTTGGCAATGGATCATAAACATTATCAACAATCACTATTTTTCTGCCTGCATTGGTTTCCTTAATATACTATTAAATGAATATGGAATTTTCCTATTTAAGTACTTTATGATAAAAAATAAACCTGTTCTCCCTCTCCCATATTTTATGGATGTCTTAATACCAAGGACCCACAGAGGAACCAATTCCACTATAAAATTGTGTAGTCAAAGATACTTTTTTAACTTAATTTATATGTTTCATAGATGTTTTTGATATTCATTCTTGATATATCTCATGTTTTTGCATCTGATTTTCATTTATCCATTTTAAAGATTACCTATTCTATCTTTTGACATAATTATACTATATTCCAAATATCCACTCCGATAAATATACAATTAATATGAAATAGTGTGGATTTAATATAGAGTAATGAAACCTATCAGGAGTACTTAACATCTACAGCCTAAGAGTTAAAAAATGTAAATTTTGAGGTGTCTATTTATTAAAGGAATATATTAAAGGCCATCAACACATTAAGAAGGTCAAAAGTTCATATATATTTTTTATTAATTACATTTTTATGGATGAGCAAAGAACAGTCAAAAATTTACAGTACATTTTCAGAAATACTTAGGAAAGTTCATATTTCATTCTCAGATATATTTTAAGCAATAAAAATATTGTATTAAGTTATGATGATTCTAAATGAAAATTAAAATATTTACCATGTTTTTATTTTATATTAAATTTTCCAGTTAATCATAAAAAGCTTTTTTCAAATCTAATAATAAAGTTGAAGAATCATAATAATTATTTCTTAAAAAAGTCATTCTTGCAAAAAGGTTAAATTTTTCTCAGAACAATATGCTTTCAGTACTATAGATTATACACTCTACATTATACTTCATACAATGTATGTATATAATATGCAATACATATGGCATATAGTCTGTAATATAAACAGTATATAAAATAGGGTATATCATATATATTATGCACTATATATTCATTTATTCACTTGCTCAGTAAAAACTTTTGAATAGCATAATTTTAAGATACACCATGTTTAAAAGAAAGGTATATGAATTGGTTATGTCTAACAAGGTATGTAGGTGAGTATGGGACAAAAAAAGGCCACTCTTAGGAGGATATAATTGATTAAAATATGCCCAAGTCTGGGCCACAGAGTTAGCACAGTAAGTAAAGTTGTCCTGCAATTGAACAACCCAGATTTGATCTCACGCACCCCATATGGTTCCCTGAGTCCTACCAGGAGAGATCCCTGAGAACAGAGCTAGGAGTAATTGCCGAGCATTTCTGAGTGTGACAAAAACTAACCAAAACAAAACAAAACAAAAAAACCCCAAACAAACGAAATCCAATAAAGACTTCAATAACCTGAAGAAAAATAACTTATTACTCCTTAATAATACTTAGTTTTTTAATTGTCTCTTTTAAAAATCCAAAGACATTTTATACTTGTTTTTAAAAATCTTTAAGTAATCTAGATTTATAATTCTACATCCTCATCTCTAGCCACCTTTTGAAAATGTCTTTCACTTTATCATTCTCTATTGCTCTGGAGACTCGGATAACCTCTTACACACAGACTGTTGGTGAAAACTTATGGCCGCAAATGTTATGCCCACCAGCACAGTAACCATGAAATAACCCAGCAATACCACCAGTTTAGAGCTCTCTCCTGTGGGTACATGTGGGTGCTGACTCTTCTAGCAGTGTACTAGAAGCACAGAATACCTGAAAGCTGGAATATTTCAGGCCACTGCTAAAGTACAAGTCAGAGGAGAGGTAGAACAACATTCTATGGCAGACAAAAATAGCGCAAACTTCTTATTCTATTTTCAATCAGAATGGAAGTGGAAGTAGTAAAGGAAGAATGAAACAACATCATGATAAAAGGGTTGTGACTTATATTTTTTTAAATACTAATGTTTGCAAATAGCAGAATGAAAACAAAACGTAGTTGGCTTGATATGAATATTACATAATAGCTAACTATGTCTATTTTTGCATTCTTGCATATATATGCATGGTTGCCTTATTCTGAAACAAAACTATGAACTCCTTGCAAGTAAAAATAGTTTTTTATTTTAAATTAGGAAATAAGTATTTGTGATAGTGAGAGATTTTGAGCCAAAGTATATAAAATCTTAGACTTATCATTGGTAAAAGAAAATTACAGTATTTATTGTAAAATAGTTCTTTCTAATGGGTTGGGGAGATAGCTCAGAGGGCTGGTGTGTAGGTTTTGTATGTGGATCTCTGAGTTCTACCCCAGGACTGCATGCATGTCCTCAAGCATCACACCTGAATGTCACTAGATACGGGCCTTCCCACAAGCCAAATTATTTATTAATAGCTTTAACTTTTCTAGAAGCAGCTTATTTGACTGATATATCGTTACACCTGAGAAAAACTGAAATACTTTCAGACAGCATACTGTAATTATATGAAAATAAAGTATGGTCATAATAATTTTTTTTGCTGTCTTTTAAGTGAGAGTTTAAACAGCATTTACCAAAATTACATGTAATTTTAAAATTAGTTTTTAAAAAAGTTGTTAGATCCGCACAAACATCAGCTAAACTTTTTCTCCAACAATGCAGATAGTAAATATTTAGGGTTACAGACCACACTGTCCCTGTCATGTCATGCTATTAACAGTATAAAAGTCACAACAATACATAAAACAAAGAGTATGGCTTTGTTCCAATAAAACTTAATTGATAAAAGCAGTCATCTCTGAGCTATATTGACTTGAAAATGTGAAACTTTATTATATAGAGATTATATAGAGATTTGCGGTTACATATCACCACTAGAAGTAGCATTAGAGGGGATGAAAACTAGTATTTTTACAGGATAAGAAATTTTTGTGACACATTTCTCTTACCTGGTTAGGTATCCTCAATGGGGGCCTTGGACCGCCAGGGTACCGAGGTGACATAAAAGGCTATTAAAGTAAAACAAACAAAAACAAAACAAGAAAATAGCATCATGTAAAAACAGGCATTTAGTATTTAGTATGTTAGAATTATGCAAAAACACAAATCCATTTACTTCCCTGTGTGGAATCTTTCTGTAGAATAAATACTTTTCAGAAAAATTACTATCCTATAATTTATTTTGTATAATTATCTGTTAATTTTTCTAATGTATATATGAAAAACATCAAAAATAACTAGTGACCATGGAAATAATTTTAATGTTAAGATGATATTCAATTGTCAAAAAATAAGACCAAGAAACCTAAGTCAATGAATCTCACCAAAGATTTAGAAAGAGGTTTACTGGCTAGCTATATCATTATGCAAATTAGATAGTATATGCTTTTTACCAAATTATACAGTTTATTAGTTTCTTTATCTTTTCTGAAGGTGGGGGCGGGGCGCGGGGAGCGCGCATACCTGGCAAACTCAGGGCTTACTCCTGGCTCTGCACTCAGGAATTACTCCTGGAAGGCCATAGGGGAACATACGGGACGCCAGAGATTAAACCCAGGTTGGCTGCATGCAAGGCCGGCATCGTATCTCTCCAGCCCCATACTAATTTCTTCTAATAATTTCTAAGTTACCTATTTTCTTGTTTTATGGTTCTATTTTTAAAATGGTGAAGAACTTTCTTTTTAAAAAAAAGTTTGCTTTTAAAATTTATTTATTTTTGTTTCAGGACCACACCCAGCTGTGCTCAGGGCTTACTTTGGGCTCAGTGCTCAGGATCACTCCTGGCAGGCTCTAGGGACCATGCAGGATGCCAGGGATCAAGCCCTGGGCTGGCCACATGCAAGCACCCTAACCACTGTTCTATTGCTCTGGCTCCAAAAAATTTCCTTTTGAAGTGTGATTTATGGCTATAAGAATTTTAGCTTTCCTTTGTTAAGGGTTTGAGTTATTCAAAACTGATTATATAATGCAAAATAAAGATTTCTTTGTATATTTTGAGTCTAGCAAATGATGAGCTATGTATTTTAGGCAAAGGAAAATGGTCTTATAACTCAAGTCAATTTAATTTGTTAGATGAGTCACAGTCTACTAAGATGTATTAAATATGTCAGTTCAAATACTAAAAAGAAAAAGCTACAACTATCATTTCAGTGATTATTGAATGTTGAGTAGAATATCTTTCATCATTTAGATTTTGGCACCAAATTTTTATTTATGACTAAATTTATTAAAAATTGCATTTTGAAGAGAACATTCTTTTTTTTTTTTTCATTCACCCAGGACCTCACACAGGCAAGGTAAGAACTCTGTCACCAAACACATCCCCAGTCCCCAAATATGGACACTAGAGACAGACATGATGTTAGTTTATGGGACCTTTGTGTTGGTTTCCCGAGGAATGCTGCCTGGGCAGGGGTCCTGTAAGTGCTCTATCTCTGCTCCCTCTTCCAGAAGAATCTCTCCCTTGAGGAAGCCCATTACAATGATGTTTGTTCCTGTATACTAAGGCCCTTGGATGTGTAAAAGTCTAACATGAATAGAGAGTTAGGCATTTAACCAAAGAACGTTGTCCTTCTGATGACTACTAGTTTTAAGCAATAAGTAGCACTGCTCTGCAGCACTGTCCTTCCATTGTTCATTGATTTGCTTGAGCGGGCACCAGTAACGTCTCCATTGCGAGACTTCTTGTTACTGTGTTTGGCATATCGAATACCTCACGGGTAGCTTGCCAGGCTCAGCAGTGCTGGCAAGATACTCTCAGTAGCTTGTCGGGCTCTTCGAGAGGGGTGGAGGAATCGAACCTGGGTCGGCTGGGTTGGCCGTGTGCAAGGCAAACGCCTTACCCGCTGTGCTATCGCTCCAGCGCAAGCAATAAGTATTGTTAAAAAAATTTGCACTTTAATTCTATTTTCTCGTAACAAATAATTTTATTTAAATATACCATAATGCAAAATTTTAAGTGCAAGATTAGCATAGCGGGTAGGGTGTTTGCCTTGCACGTGGACGACCGGGGTTCAATTTCTCCGATTCTTCCGTCCCCTTCAGAGAGCCTGGAAGCTACTGAGACTATCCTGCCTGCATGGCAGAGCCTGGCAAGCTCCCCGTGGCGTATTTGATATGCCAAAAAACAGTAACAAGTCTCACAATGGAGATGTTACTGGTGCCTGCTCGAACAAATCGATGAACAACTGGAGGACAGTGCTACAGTGCTACAATATAAGAAACTTATCAATTTTAAAGTTTGAATATTATTAAAATATGAATTATCATAACACAGCATAATATAGTTAATATTACATAATATAAAATAAAATATAAGAATATAAATCAGAATCAATTTAACAAAAGCTTGGGCAAGTCAATTAAATTAACTATTAACTCTATAGTATTTAACTATTGACTATTAAATCTACAGTCTACTAAGTCTTTTGTATTTTTTAAACTCTAGGCTAAAGTGTTAGTTCAAAGAGCTCAGTAAAAGTTTTATATGCAGGATGCAAATTTGATCCCTGGCACCGCATGGTCCCCCAAAAAACAATAAGTGTGGCCAAAACTAAAAAAAATTCACTCCCATATTTATAATGCATTTTATACAACATTCTTAGACCTAATATTCATACTTAAAAAATTGTTATATAATCTTTTCCTATAACGTATTTGGAGAGTTTGATAACCTAGTAAGAGGAACTTTTTGAGTTAAGCAAGAAATTTGCCTTTTTTGCTCACTGTGTTCTAATATGTTAATGAATTCCCAGAAGTTAATTTTAAATAGACAGAAATAGCAGATTATTCAGGTAATATTTTCACCTCCAGCTGATAAAACTTTAAGTGGGACTTTCAATTTTAACATTTAAAATTGTTTTGTTTTCACAAATTTGTTCTAAGTTGTCTTTTTATCATTTCTGAAACTCAAAATTGGATGTTCTTTACCATACAGCCAATTAGAAACTTTCTTGAATATTCATACTCTATAAAGCTTTCATAATTTTCTAATTTCATGTATGAAACTGTTTTTTAAAAAATGCTGGACTATTTAAAAAAAAACCTTTAATATTGTCATTAACTTTGAAGTGGCCACATTTCCAACATGATTTTATGCCATGTTCACTAATCCTGAGTTATCAAGTTAGTTTTTGGAATGTGGAGAAATATAAATAGGTTATCTTATGTTAATTCCTGTGTATGGTAGGTTTACTTTGAAATTCCATACAAGATAGAAAGTATGTTGAAAGAATTACTAAATCCCAAATGTTGAAATAAATACTGATATGTGCCTTACTTGAAAAAGAAGCATTTGAGATTTGTATGTTCATGTAAATGTAAAATGATATTACAGTGTTAATTGAATGGGCTATTTGAAAAGAGAATTCTTGTTCTCAGATCAATGTCAATGTGAATTTTAATGGGACTGTGGTACTCCCTTATCTGACTGCAAGGCCCCATGAGGAATGGCTGAGAGAGGAAGAAGAAATTTAAGTGGTAGCTGGGATCTTGCATGCCCTACAGAATAAGATGGTAAGAGAGTCCCTCTTTAGTTAATTTCTGTCCTCTTACATAACCTCTAAAAACCTCAAAATTATATGGTGTGGGGTTCTTAGTTCAAAAAATCCTATATATTTAAAAAATAAATTTGAATAGATTTTCATATAATTAAGACAAAACATGCAATTTAGATTTAAATCTATTCTAACTTAAAATAGAAAGCTTGCTATGATTAAAAGCAACTTAAATATTAAATTAATGCTGTTGAAATATAAAACTTAACACTGATCATTATCTGAACCTAGCATCTAGTTAACCAATATCCAGATCCTCAAATGTCCTTAGAATATCAACCTGTGTAGATCAGGCAACAGTGCCTCAAAGAGTTTGCATACTAGCAACTGAGAAAGCTGTGTACTATCACTTATTCTATTTAGGAGAGAACTTGCTTTCAAATAAAATTCAAGATATTAAAAAATTAAATTCAAATATAAAAATTACCAGCTGATAATATAAAATATTATAGTGAGAGACAACATTACTCTGTGTAATAAAAACCTGATAAGAACAGATTCTTCAAAAGTCCTTGGCTATGAATGTATATCTATTCTTTATATTTGACACAGCACTTAAAAAAATCTTGGGCATCAAAGTATTTGTCTGAAGGTATAACATCAAATCAATAATTATTGATTAACTCTTCCCCTTGAAAAATTTACTAAGAATGCATGTGGAGAAAACATCTGACTAGGAGGCAAAGACCTAAAGTTTAATTTTTGCATGCACTAATTTGCAGATAAACCCTAAGCTAATATTTTTTCTGGGTTTTATTATTCTTAACTTTACAATGAAGGAGCTGCAATATATGTTCTCTAAAGCCACTTTTGTGTGTCTGGGGGAGGAGGTGGGGCAGAAGGCCATAAATTTTGTGTTATTTTCACCATCAGCCCTTACCTATCAAGAACAGAATATTATAGATAAAGTGTTTGAAGTGGGGAAGGAAGATTACAAGAATATTTTAAGTGGCAAACCATTTTTATCAATGAACTTGAGAAACTTACTCCAGTGCTTTCCGAAATAAGGAAAATCCTGTTTAAAGTAAAAATACACCTCAACAGACAATGATGCTTTGTCAAAGGTCAAAGGTCAAATGTAGGTCAGAGATCTGTTCATTCAACAAGTATTTACTAAGGCACTGTTCTGGCTGGCTAAATTAATCAGTGAACCAAGCAGATAAAGAGCAACAGCTTCCTTGTAGGATTTTCAAGGTTCACAGCCTTCTAATTAACAGGGAAAACTATTTTTTTTTTTTGGAAAAAAGTGTTTTCTGTGTAAATCCACTAATCTGGAACAAATAAGATGTTCTCCACACCAAGTGCCAAATATCAGTAAAAATGCAAACAATGTATTTCAACCTGCTGCAGTGCCTGAGAAATGGCATTATATTGTAAAAAACTCAGAATTTTTAAAATTAGGGGTCAGAGTTAAAGTACAGTGGGTAGAATGCTTGACTTGCATACAATTGATC